AAGTTAACCAATCGCAAGTCTACATATTTGCTTCAGGAGAGGCAAGTTCCTTGTTCCTCCGCATCAGTCTCGAAGTAGCCTCACCTCCCTCTTCAGGAATGGAGGCAATGCAAAAGCAGCCCTATGCATCTGTCAATAGAGAATAAATATTTTATTTCTACTATAAAATGGTTAGATCACAAAAGAAATTACAGTAAAAGAGATAAGACTTTGCAGGTCAAGATGCTAAGCCATCGAGAAATAAAATGGACCATCACTCTAACTCGATGGGGTTCATTTCCTTGCACGGAACGAACTATAATAGCTTCAAGGAGTCCATGTTCATAACAAAAGTAAATACCAGTTACTCTGCAGAAGACTAAAAACTGAACTTGATGGAATGAGTTCTCACCTCAGAGTTGTAAAATCTAAGTTCTCTCTTATGATGGTAAGCTCCATCTAGCTTCTCAATAGGGTTTATGGGATTCAGAAAATCAACCGGTAGTCCCTCTGTGGAGCATAACAGGAAACCAATCACACCACTGCATTGCAAAAGAAAAGGAAAACAGAAGTCAGAAGTCGGAAATGAGATAGGCACTGATTTGAAGACGGGTCTGCAATTGGTAAATGATACAATATAAAATTACCACTGTCAAAACCATCATTAATATCTAAAAGAGAACCAAGGGGAAACAACAGCTTAATTAAATACCTAGGATAAGTTGGAACACTTGTCCATGCATAACGAACACAACCCTTGAATGTTTCACGGCAAACAGAAATCATATCTTCAATTAAATGTGTATGAAGCCACATACTCTCAGCCATGTTACAGAGGACACCACCAGGCCTTAATGCTTGAGCTATAGTCTCAAAAAATGGTTTTTCTACAAGCTCTTGAGCAGGACCTAAATTGCAAACCGGAGGAGTAAAAGCTTGAATGACGTTAAGTCTTAAAAGCAAAAATACCATGTAAATGTTCTTTAAGAAACCATCAATGCTGAGAATAAAATTTTATCATATCATACATTACAACGTACCTACAGGATCTGATGAATCAACAATGATCGCGTCATACTTCGCTTTTGGAACATGACGAAGAAACTCAATAGCTGTTAAGATTATATGCAAGTAAAACATCAGTTTGGGAATTAAAGCATCATGCTTGACCACTCAACAGAAAATTCACATAAAAAAAAGAGTATAAATGAAACACATAAAATATTCAATATTGCTTTCACATACCATCACCAACATGAAGATGAACACGAGGGTCCTCAAATCCAACAGCTAATTCTGGAAAGAACTTTTTGGAAACCTATAAAAAAAAAGTTACATATGGCTACTAAATGAGCGTTTTCATACAAAAGGTAAAAGGAAAATGAAACAAGAATAGATACTAAAATACAACATACATCTATAACCATCTTATCTATTTCACATATATCAATGTGCTCAACAGAGCTGTGCCGAGAAATCTCCCTAAGAACTCCACCATCACCACCTCCAACAACCAGGACCTGCATCCAATATTTAGGTAAAAATCAACACGAAATAACTGATGGGCTAAAATAAAATCTTTCACGAACTGAGGCAAGATAGGAAAGATTTGATAAAGTAGAGAAAATTCAAGACTGATCAGCCAGTAAGAACTTTGAATCAACCAAACAGCTTAGGGGATATATCGATGACAAAAAAGACCAACCAATTTCAATAGCCTTTCTGGCACAAAACTTCATCAAGATTATCTCATTATGCAATCTTAGAGAAAAAAATAATTTTGAATGTCAAATTAGAAATTGAACAAAAGAAAGTAGGATAAGCTCATCAATAGACGAAGATATTAGCAAGATAAGATGAGATTACAGTTTTGGGAGATGGAATTGAACAAAGCGGAAGATGAGCTATCATCTCCTGATATGCACATTCATCTTTCTCGGTCAACTGAACTATTCCATCAAGAACAAGCACTTTCCCGTACGTTGATGACTGCAGGGAAAAAAGTATTTTCATCAGCAAGATTATGCATAATGAATGTAAGAAAAGAGGCAAGCCAAGTCAAGAGGAAAAAAATATATAGGAAGGAACTAGAGGTAGACAGAATTGGAAATATAAAACACAGTTAAAATGCCAAACCTCAAAAACAAGGACCTCTTGGAAGTCTGATTTCTCCTTGAATAAAATGCTTTCAACTTTCAGAGAATGTGCTTCTCCTGCAGCAAAAATTTCAAGCATTGTAAATTAAGAATGTGGTGCAATATGTATGAGGTATTCACTAGTTCAACTCAAGGCTCCTAAGCTCTAATTTCATAGAATAAGTTACTACGATAAATTATAAAAGGAAGACTGGGACTCTAGCACAATGAGAAGGTAAAGAATAAAGATACTCTAAAGAATTTCAAACATATATAAATTGCAAAAGAAATTGAAACTCACCAGGCCACATAGGATTGTTGAAGTAAACCCTTTTACCAGCTTTATCTGCCAGTGATGAAAAAAGAAAAATAAAGATCAAACCAAGTAATTCTTGTAAAAGAATGAAAAAGAACGGGAAAAGCTAATTCAAAGATAAAGACCAGAGGAAGACTGAGATTCTGAGAACCACCCAGAAACAACAGTTGAATGGCATTTTGCCTCAAGCTCAGGGGCTGAGGCCCTGGCCTTCAAGCAACAAGAAGGGACAACCTTCTCAGAGCCATTCCCACTATTCACCTTCCCATCCATAATCTTCTGGCATTCCAAATCTCTTCCTGCGTCTTCCCCCATAGACAATCTTTTTCTTCTTCGGCTCCAGCCTCTATATGTCAAAAAAAAAAGTTATAAGCTCCCTTCTTAAAGAAGGAGAAGGAAAAAACATATGTTATCACGTGCAGTGTAAATTTTTTTTAGCAGAACCATTAAAAAAAACACATGCATGATGGTATAAAGAAGTAAATATATTTCTTTTAGAAATAAAAAATAGTAATTTTCATAATGTTCCCTACGAAAAAAAAATAGCATCAGATTCCTTGTTCTTCAATCACTAATTTGATACATTCCTCAACATTGTTAAAAATATAATAATAAGCCTCAAAGTGGGGGGATTAAAGAAAAAAAGTTATGCTACATAGAACTTTGGCAGCAGAAATTCCAGGCCCATTGGCTCGTCAAAGTGATTAAGGAACTAAAAAATATAACCTAATCACCTAAAGTAATACAAGAAGATTCTGATGTCATACAATAATAAAAAAAAACAAATCATACCACAATGATTGAACTCACATGCTATGATTACTGAAAAACAGAATTTACCAATTCTAAAGGGAAAAATTAAAAACAACCTAAACTAGGCTATATGCGTTTCTTAAACGAGTATAAACAAATAGAAACGTTGCTTCTATAAATGATCAAAGTCAAGATCATCAAAAGGACGTCGTTTAGTCTGAATAAAATATATCATCAAGGGAAGAGAAATCCCATCAAGTAACGTAATGTAAACGAGACTTTCAAATCAAATTTTGTTGGAAAGAAACCCATAATTAGCCATGAACTATTATTTGCTGCAATTAAGCCAAGTTAACATTCATTTTTTTCCTTGCATGACAGAATTGAACAGACACAAAAATAAAATAAAATAAAATAAAAGCAAAGCTCCAATTCTCTCCCGCGAAATTTTCAAAATGGAAGGAACTAGGGTTTTGAAAAGCGAAATCAAAACAAAGAATCTCCAAACCACGGCTTTTCAAACTCAAATAAATCAATAAACAAAATAGGGAAAAATAGAAAAATCGAAGTGTCAGAGATCATACAGCAGCAATTAACATATCAAACAATAAAAATTGAGGGGGGGGGGGAATGCAAATCGCAAAATAAAAATAGATTAATAGAAATAAATTCTGAACTTATAGAGAAAAAAATAATTAAATAAGGAAGAAAAAACCTTGCCTGGTCTTATTGGCAGTGAGAATTTGATTAAAAAAAGATAACGAACCTCTGAGTAATCTGGATAATCCAAAGGGCTAGAGGGAAGGGTTACGATGAAGGGGGGGAAATAATTTATTCTAATTATATTATTCAGTTCAGGTTGTTCAATGCTTACCTACTTATTTGTTTGAATAAATTACTCTGACGGTCACTAATGTTTATATTAGTTTCTTTTCTCATCATTAAGTTTGAAAATTTATATAACATTCATTAACATTATAAATTTATAATAGAGTCACTCTATTGTTAATGTTTGCTATTTGAGATACTTTAATCTGATGTAGCACGTTAGAAAAAATAATTTGATATACTTTATTTACTTTAATCTCTATTTAACCCGTCATTTAACTTTCTTAGGGAAAAAACTATAATTTTTTGTATTAATAGGAAGTTGATATTATAAACGAAGAAGAAAAAAAGTTGACAAAAATGGAAGAAATAATCAAGAAATTCGAAAGTAACATAATCTATTGATATGTCAATGTATAATTGTGGACACATTTTTTTTTTTTGAAAGATAGTAGTATGATTGATAGATGAAAGCAAATAATACATGGTAAAACATTTACATGAATCTCGTTAGGAAACCTCCCTAAACCTAGCCGGAGGACGAAGAGTGTTCATGTCGATGTTGGTTTTGAAACAAAACAACGAAGAGAAATTCGACCACCAACACAGCTCACACTACACTTATGCGAATGTTATACCCCCAAAGGACTAAAACGTGCATACACTCAGCTGGTCATCCACATAATCATAAAAGAAGATTTTTTAATTCTAGAAATCATAAAAAGAAGATGCATATATCTTGTCTCTTTCATCGGATGGATCCTTTTATAATACCTCGTGTAATAGTGATTAATTATGAATTTATGATACGATTGTAATGAGAAGTGACAAATATAGAGAGCAAAAAAAGAAATTAGATAACTTCTTATTTTATGTAGGGTTGAATGTGTGTGGATGCTGTAAAGTGAATAATGAATAGGTTGTAATGGTTTGGATGCATGGGATGTTATATTAGTAAACCTCAGCTCGAAGATGATCTTCAAAAAGTGCTAGGGTTTATTTAACTCCACCACAATCACACTGTTAGCAGTCTAATGTAAGTGGGTGTGCAGCTGATTGTAACAGATTGTAACTAAGTCATGCACGTGGCATTTGCTGAATGAGTCAGCTGTTAGTTAGTTAGCAATGCAGTTAGTGTTAACTGCTTATATGAGGCTTGTGCTTGTGTATATAAACTAGTACCATATCTCAGCTGAAATATACAAGTTATGTAGTACTTTTTCAGTGTGCAAATTACCATTCCAATATGGTATCAATCGCCATAGATATTGGGGTGCTTTCTTTCGCTGCTTAAAGCCTTTCTTGATGGAGTTCAACACCAACGCCAAATCGTTCACTCACAAGAAAATAAATGTTGTTCTTGATGAGATGAATTTTCTCCTTTGGAAGCAGCAGATTTTGCTCACCATTCAGAGCCACCGTTTGGAACGGTTTCTTACCGGTGCCGTGACAACTCTACCAGAAACTATTGTTGATGATGATGGTATCACCCGAGTCAATGACGCCTATGAAAATTTTGTTGCACAAGATAGCGCACTTGCCTCATGGTTGTTATCCACCATCAGCAATCACTTGCTCCCTCAATTTGTTGGGGCTGAAACTGCAGCAGCCGTATGGAACACAGTTCTTCAGTTCTTTGCCAATCGCTCCACGACTGCAGTAATGAGTCTCCATTACAAGCTTCAGTCATTAAAGAAAGGAGGTGATAGTATGCGTACTTACCTTACCCGTGTAAAAGAGGTATGTGATGCCTTAGCTTCTTGTGGCAGTGTTGTACCTCAAGTTGAACACATAACAAGTGTTTTGAAAGGTCTCCCTCGAGAATACCAGCCTTTCATGGCAGTTATAACCTCTATGAGGGAAACGTTGTCCCTAGATAACATCTACACAATGCTTCTTGATGCTGAGACTCAACTTGCGAGCCTTGATGACCAGCTGGAGACCTTACCTATGAGTGCCAACGTTGCCCAAAGGGAGAATCAAAATTTTGCAATATCGAATTCAGGCTATGATCATCGCCCGGGAACTCGAACTGGTGGCCGAGGTCGTGGTAGGTCACGCTTGCAATGCCAACTTTGTGGGAAGATTGGCCATCTCGTTGATCGATGCTGGCATAGATTCGATGAAAATTTCTCTTGTGTTACCACTGATCGATGATCCAGTCACTCGGACCGTAAGTCAACTTCATCTGCTTACAACTCCACGTTGTCATCTTCTGATGCTGGGTGTGAGTACTGCGCCAAGCATAAGTCTGGCTTAACTGTGGCTGGGCAACCACAAGCTCATGCCTCCTCCATGTCCTCTGACCGTTGGATTGTAGACACTGGTGCCACACACCATGTCACCTCAGATTCCAACAACGTATTAAATACGACTGAATTTCTTGGCCCAGGTAAACTGCTAGTCGGTAACGGTATGCCACTTAATGTAGTTTCTACTGGCCACTCTCATGTTTGTGCTAATTCACGCATACTTTTGCTGAATAATCTACTGCTTGTTCCTCAAATAACCAAGAACCTACTGTCTGTGTCCAAGCTTGCTAGGGACAACGACGTTTTTCTAGAGTTTCATGCAAATAGGTTCTATGTCCGTGATGAGAAAACCAGAAATATTCTACTTCAAGGTGATGAGCATGAAGGTCTATATTCGTTTTCCATGAATAACAACTCCTTGGGAGTGAATCTTGTTGAAGTCAACACTAGCTCAGTTTCGTACTCTTTAGAAGACCTTTGGCACAGGCGACTTGGTCACCCAGCTGCTGAAACATTAGTGAAGATAGCTAAAGAAATAGGCATCAAGATACATTCTAATGTACATAAGACCTGTGTAGTGTGTCATATGGGAAAAAGTCATAGACTTCCCTTTGTTGAATCAAATACATCAGTTGATTCTCCTTTCAAACTTGTGTACTCTGACTTATGGGGGCCACCTCATATGACATCAAATGGATTTCGTTTTTATGTTTCATTTGTAGATGCCTTCACAAGACATACGTGGATATATTTGTTAAAAACGAAAGGAGAAGCTGTGCTGGCATTTCGTATGTTTCAAAAACTGGTGGCAAATCAGTTTGGCAGCTCCATTAAAGCTTTGCAGACTGACTGGGGAGGTGAATTTCGTACCTTGTCACCCATGCTAGCCAGTGAAGGAATCTTGCACCGATTAACATGCCCCCACACGTCTGAACAGAATGGGGTTGTTAAGCGTAAACATCGCCACGTTATTGAGCTAGCACTTGTTTTATTAGCTCAAGCATCTTTACCAGTCAAATACTGGTCATATACTGTTGTTTCAGCAGTCCATTTAATAAATCGTCTCCCTACTGCTGTGCTACAAGGAGTATCTCCTTTTGAGAAACTTTATGGCAAGAAACCAGACTACACTATGATGAGGGTTTTCGGTTGCCAATGTTTTCCCCACCTGAGGTTATTTCAGAAACACAAGCTCGCATTCAGATCTCAAATCTGTACTTATCTTGGCATCAGCCCTCGACATAAAGGATTCCAATGCTTGGCATCAGATGGGAAAGTTTATATCTCTAGGCACGTTGTATTTAATGAATTCATTTTTCCTTTTGCAGGACAAGCAGCTTGTGAATCCTTGAAATCGCTTGAGCCTACAAAATCAGTACGTTGGTCCTCTCAACCACTAAGGGTTGTTGCTCGAAATATGCCATCTGCACTTGAACAACCTACTGTAAATGATGGACTCAGTTTTGACTCTAGTGATGCTGCAACAGGAAGTGTTGGATCTCCAGACTCTAGCAGAGTCAATACTGGTACGAATAACACTGAAGTTGACGATGCTCATGAAAGCACTAGTGCTGCTGCAGAATCTGGAAGTATTGAGCCAGCAACAGATGTGTGCAGCAGCCCTGCTGAACCCAATACTGATGAAGCAACAGATGCGTGTAACAGTCCTGCTGAACCTGATACTGATAATCATCGTCAAGACATTGTTCTCGATTCCAGTACTATGGGATCTTCAATGCGTGTTCATCCTATGATGACACGTAGCAGGTGTGGAATTTTTAAACCCAAAGTATTCTTTACTGCTGAAGAGGAGGATGTTCCAACTACAATAAATGCAGCACTAAAATCACCACATTGGTCTACTACTGTACATGAAGAATACAATGCCTTACAGAAGAATGGCACTTGGTCTTTAGTAAAGCTCCCAGAAGGAAGAACCACTGTTGGATGCAAATGGATATTTCGAATCAAAAGAAATCCGGATGGGACTGTACTTCGATATAAAGCCCGTTTAGTTGCTAAAGGGTTTTCTCAAACACCCGGTTTTGATTTTGGAGACACATTCAGTCCAGTAGTTCGTTTCTCTACATTCAACACTGTTCTATCGATTGTTGTTTCTAAAAGCTGGGAGCTTCGACACGTTGATATAAACAATGCATTCATGCATGGAGATTTAAATGAAGACGTTTATATGCAGCAACCTCCTGGATTTGAGCAAACTGACGAGAGTGGCAAACCTCTCGTGTGCAAGCTTCTAAAGGCTTTGTATGGTCTTCGTCAGGCGCCTCGTAATTGGTATATAAAACTCAAAGAGAGTTTGCTACAACTTGGGTTTACAGTATCTCGTGCAGATTCTTCCTTGTTCGTTAAACAATCTAGCAACGGATACATGTATGTACTAGTGTACGTAGACGATATAGTTATAACAGGGCAATCATCTACACTAATTGAAGAGACCGTGTCACTACTACAAGCTCGTTTCTCTCTTAAAGATTTGGGGGACTTAAGTTTTTTTCTGGGCATCGAGGTTCAGCGTATTAATGGCTCGATTCTGTTGAGTCAGAAGAAATATATCCTTGAGTTGCTTGAAAAAACAGGAATGATGGCAGCTGCAGAATGTGCTACACCTATGGTAGCTGCGTCTAAACTTTCCAATGCAACAGGAGACCTGTTAAGCAATGCAAGTGATTACAGGAGTATTGTAGGCTCATTGTTGTATATCTGTCATACGAGACCAGACATATCGTTTAGTGTGGGACAAGTTGCACAATACATGCACGCTCCACGTGAAGATCACTTTGTTGCTGTTAAAATAATACTTCGCTACCTACGTGCTACTCTAAATTTTGGCCTATTTTTTTCACCTGTTGAAAGTGGACAGAACATAGTTGCCTTTGCCGATGCTGATTGGGGAGCTAGTATTGATGATCGAAGATCCATAACGGGGTATGGTGTGTTCTTGGGCAAATGCTTAGTTACTTGGTGCTCAAAGAAACAAAAGACGGTCTCTCGGTCGACAATGGAGGCCGAATATAAGAGTGTAGCTGATGCAGCTGCAGACATAGCTTGGGTGAATGCTCTCCTAACTGATCTTGGTATTCAACAAGGTCGAGAACCGATTGTCTGGTGTGACAATACCAGCACAGTGGCTATGAGTGCCAATCCAGTTTACCACGCTCAGTCCAAGCATGTGGACCTTGATGTGCACTTTGTTCGGGAGAAGGTGGCAGCTGGTCAATTGCAAGTTAGCTATGTCCCTGCAATGCATCAAATTGCTGATGGATTCACCAAACCATTAGCGCGAGCTGCATTTGAGGAGTTTAGATCCAAAGTATGTGTGTATTCCTTTGAACAAAGGAAACAAGAAGTAGGGAAAATGTTAGCAGTCTAATGTAAGTGGGTGTGCAGCTGATTGTAACAGATTGTAACTAAGTCATGCACGTGGCATTTGCTGAATGAGTCAGCTGTTAGTTAGTTAGCAATGCAGTTAGTGTTAACTGCTTATATGAGGCTTGTGCTTGTGTATATAAACTAGTACCATATCTCAGCTGAAATATACAAGTTCTGTAGTACTTTTTCAGTGTGCAAATTACCATTCCAATACACACTAATGTTGTCCTTGCTACCCCGAGCCATTGCGAGCTCAACCAACACCGCAGCAGCTCCTACAGCACGGTTGCGGTTTCCGTCAACGATCGTAGTAGATCTTCTCTTAATCCGACTGTTCATACATTTCCTCACTACTCGACACGTGATTTCGTTAGACACGACATCCCACAGGCCATCACTAGCTAGTATGAGGAACTCGTCGTCATCGGTTAACTCTCTTTTGATTACGTCTGGTTCGGATATGATAGATGGTTTAAGGTATTGATCGCCTGCAAGCATGCAAATTTTACTCTCCGTGGTGAGGAAACAAAAGGTTAGCTCTTAAAAAGGTAAGATTTAGAAATAACATATAAGTGATACATGTTGATATATAACAGATGAGATAATGATTCATAATGTTATCTATTACACATCAATAATACATACCTATCGATCTTGAAGTAGCGACTACTCCTAGCACACGATGGCCATTCCAATTTATGACCCTTCCACCAGCAGTTTCGATTCTTTTCAGTTCGTCTGGCCTATCGGGCTTTATATAAGAATGTAATAATGTAAAACTGTTTAGTTTTACATTATATTATTATAGTTGGGATGAATGAAGATGATAGTTAAAATTAATAATGAAAAATATTAGTTTTAATAAAAAATAATAATCATTTATTTTCATCATCTAATAATGTTAAAATTTATTCTCTTCATATTAAATAACCCAATGATCAAACATTAATTCAACTGTTACTGTTATTATTGTATTATTTAAAAAAATAAATCTAACATATTTCAAAACAATGGAAAAGAAACGAATGAAATCATTGTAAACATTACCTTATGATCGTCAGACAAGGCCATAACAATACCACCCGTCGATAGCATAGCTTTGGAGTCTCCACAATTCGCCACCAACTACAGCCACAACCGCCGTCGAACCCACCGTCTCCTCCCCCAACCTCCCTCGGCTCACTTCTTCATCCATCTTCTCGAAACATCTGTTCATCGTCCTTGTAACAACCCGAAAATTTCAAAATAATATTTAATTGAAAATTGAGGTTTTAATTGTGAAAATTGATAAATTTTGGGGACTAAATTAGAAGTTTTTAATACTTGTAGCTTATTTTAGAGTTAAAGAAAATTCAGAGACAAAGCCTTGAATTTACCCAAAAAAAAGTTGGTCATATTGGTTTATATATACGTGGAAAATAGAAAACCACTCCAAAAAGCTCCCTTCCCTAACCTCAACTTCCGACAACGATTCCGACGTCGTCTGAATTCCGATTGTCGTTTTAAAACCATCATCATGTTCGTTATCGAGTGAGGAATAATTCCCTTAAATCAATTGAGGTGAAACACTGCCAAACGCTGTGAATTTCAAATCAAAGTCTCGACGTTTTTTTTAGCTCAATCGCTGAGAAAATCTTAAATTCATCGCCGATCGTTGCTCCGTTTACGACACCTCCCGCACCATCGTGTTCCTTGTGTCGTTTTGAGTCCGCCAGTGTCATCCTCCGTCTCCGTTGACGGCGGCGCGTGGGGAGATGAAGCGGTCAAAGTTTCCGATTTGATGAAATCGAGCTCTCCGCCATTCAAAAATTTGAACCGAGCTTTGTAAGTATCTCGAAATCGCTCAAAATGATTTTTAAAAATTTTTCTGTAATTTTTCCGACGTTTATAGACGCCGGCGTGTGGGGAAGACTAAAATAACTGGTTTTTCAAAGGGTTGACCAGTCTTGACCGACCCGTTGACCCGACCCGACCGTTGACCGGGTGATATTTTAGGAATTAATTTGAAATGGGTGTTATTTTGGGAATTAATTCGAAAAGGGTGCTATTTTGGGAATTTAATTCGAAAAAGGTGCTATTTTAGAAATTTAATTCGAAAAAGTTCTATTTTGGGAATTTAATTCTAAAAGGTGCTATTTTGGTAATTATTCTAAAAAGATGCTATTTCTGTAAAATGGTTGACAGTTTATTGACCTCCTTTGACCAGAACTTTGATCGGCTTTGACCGGCCATTAAACAACCGTTAATCTTTTCCGAGAATACCTATCCTAACATTTTTCGACGTTTTGAATCCGTTTTTGGGGTCGGTTTCACAAAATTTAAACCCGAAAGTCTCCGAATCGTCAATCAAACCCGTTGACTTTGATTTTGACCAAGAATTCAGAATTTTGGAAGGTCATACTTTATGTTTTTCGACATCCTGAATCTGATTCTGAAGTCCGTTTTGTCAAATTCTGACCTGAAATTCTCGAATCGAGCTTGTAAACCCAAAAGGCTTAATATTTCAATATTTTGATTATTTATTTGAGATTTGGTTAAGGAATTGATTCAATAAAAATATTTTATGAAGATACTCGTGTTTCACATGAGCAAGGATCATTTAGGTCCGGTGTTGTCCGTTCGTTTGATCTGCCTGAACCACGTACTACGAGAATTACCCGTAGGTTTTCGTATATTATTTAAATAATATTTAGATTATTTATATTAGGTTTCCAATATGGATTTTTCCAATTCGTAGGATCTAGCGCTGCAGCAGAGCGTGATCGACAAAACCAGTAATAAGTTTCCCTATCTGATTTCTCAGACTGTTACAAGTGTGTTTCCTGACAATGTTATCTTACAGTTTTAAACTATATATCTGAACTGGTTTATATTATGAGAATATAATATATTTTATGAGGAAATATCCGGTATTTTGAATAATGTTTATTAAATGTCTGATTTACCGTATAATTTTTATATGGTTTATAGTTATAGTATTTTTGTACATGATTTCTAAATATGGAACATTTCCATATTTAATAGATTAATTACTGTTTTTACTCCAATGCATACATGTTTATTTTTTTCATTAGGGGTACGATTGAAGGAAGTATTGTCAGGTCCCTTTTGCTGTATGCGAAGGTAAGCCTTACAGTTTCCCATGTCCCTTTGTTGTGTGCGAAGGTAAGCCTTACAGTTTACCAGGTCCCTTTGTTGTGTGCAAGCGTAAGCCTTACAGTTTCCCAGGTCCCTTTACTGTGTGCAAGGATAAACCTTACAGTTTTCCTAGGCTCCTCTGCTTTGTGCACAGGTTAAGCCTTACTGGTGTATAGGTGGTGTACGGTTCAGGTGAACCTACATATTTTGGGGATTGGATGGGGGTAGTGTTCATATTATTAAAATATATTTGATAAATTGTTTTATCTTATCTGAATTATTTTGTTATGTATGTGTTATACATTGTATAGGGCACACTGGGCTTTTTAGCTCATTCTATAATTTTTACCTTTTTCAGATAACAACAAACCTTAAGCTAGCAGATTTGGCATCAGGGGAGATCAACTACTTATTTTGTACGAACTTATATCTATATATGTTTTTCAATTATGTTTGGTGACATATATTTGCTATCGTTTTGGATATATATGTATTAATACATTTTGTTATGTATTATATCTAATGTATTGTAAGATATTTTAAAGAAAAAAAATATATCTATGAATGGGATATGTGACCACTTAGGTTTGGGTCTAAATTACAGATCGGGTCTGGGGGTTATATTTGGTGGTATCAGAGCTTTCGGTTTTAAACACTCGGACTGTATATGGGTCCTAAACTTTGAATTTTTAAGAAATTTGAAAAAAAAATGTCACCTTATTTTATGATTTAAAATTTTCTCGAGATCCTTGATGCTAATCTGACATATGTTTCAAATTCTTTCTGTAGAGCCTTATAGATCTAACGATGAGTGCTGCTAGAGGTCGTAGGACAGGACGTGGCCATGGTCGAGGACGAGTCACTCGACCTTCTGTTACGATAGACGATCCGATGTCATCACATGATCCTTCTGTTCCGCAAGTAGATCCGACTCTTTCTAATGATGATCAGTTTACTCCTGTGAGAGACCCTCTCATCACTGAAGATGAGGATACTGAGATGAATGAAGACACCATTAATAGAGCTATCTTCTGCATGTTTCAGAGAGCTGCTAGAGCCCCTAGTAATATGATTGCGGTTGAGATTTCAAATTCCTTGGTAGCTGTTGGTGTAGTTCCATTCGAGGGTATTACTGGTGGACCTCCGACAGACGCTGAGTATTGGTTAGAGGATACAGAGAGGATTATGTATGAGATGGATCTCATACCTGAGTAGAAGTTGAAAGGGGTCCTAACTATGTTGAAGAAAGAGAGCTTCAGATGGTGGCAATCGATTTCTGGTAGTATCCCGAGAAACCAGTTAACATGAGATCTTTTTAAGACACGTTTCCGGAGTCGCTATATTGGGGAGAGATATCTACAGGAGCGACGCCATGAGTTTCAGGATCTGGAGCAGGGTAATATGCCTGTTATGGACTACGAAGTGGAATTCATCCGATTGAGCCGATATGTCCCTGGACTTGTTAACACAGAGGTAGATAGATGCTTGAGGTTTGAGAATGGACTCAGGCATGAAATCAGAAGCCAAGTTGCTACCCACCGGGAGAGAAATTTTGATGCATTGGTTGAGATAGCCAAGACTGCTGAGGAATTAAAGCGATTGGGTATGGAGCACAGGAGAGACAGTGATCGAGCTCAAACCCGATTCAGGAGGCCTTCTGGTTCTGTAGATTCTTCTGAATACCCCAACAAGAGAGGCATGGGTGAATCCTTTCAGAGAGGTGGTGCAAGTGTCAGGCCTGTGGCATCCGGTTCTTCAGCCGTACATCATTCTAGACATGGTGGATCTTCTGGGCTGCAACCTATACCGACATGTGTGCACTGTAGAAGATGTCATTATGGTAAGTGCAGTCTGAAATTGGGGACATGTTTTAGATGTGGTTCCGGTGACCATTTCATGAAGGATTGTCCAGAGCGAGATCGTTCAGTTCAGACGCCAGCTCGTACTCCCGCTAGTTCTCATAGTACAGTCCAGACTCCAGCAGGGGGTCGTGTTCAGGAGAGAGCATCTGGATCAGCTAGTAGAGGTTGAGCATTTCAGAGTAGGGTTCCATTCAGATCTCAGGCCAGACAGCCTGTATTGGTTTACACTGCCAGACTTCGACAGGATCGCGATGGGCCTAATGTGACTGTAGGTACTGTTACTATTCATTCAATTCCCTACTTTGCATTGTTTGATAGTGGCTCTACCAATTCCTATGTATCACATTCCGTTTCTGAGAGACTAAATATTCCTGTTGAGAATACTGAGCATTCGGTGATAGTTCAAAGTCCCTTAGGCAAGTCCATAGTGTTGGATCGTATTTTTAGAGAATGTTTTGTAGAGATCAATGGGGAGATTTTTCTGGCTGACCTGATGGAGTTACCCTTTGAAGAGTTTGATTTGATTCTCGGCATAGATTGGTTGGACAAACATCGAGTAAATATTGATTTTGAGACCAAGAAAGCTGTTCTGAAAACCCTAGATAATCGAAAGATTGTAATGATCGGAGAACACCGTGGATTTCTGAAGAATGTTGTGTCTGCTTTGGTGGCTGAGAAGATGATCAGGAAGGGTTCTGAGGCGTTTCTTGCTTATATTTTGGATACTAGAAGTTCTCAGTCTGATATTGAAGGTATCCGGATTGTCAAAGAATTTTTTGATGTTTTTTCCGAGGAGTTTCCTGGATTACCTCCGGATAGAGAAGTTGAGTTTGAGATTGAAATCTATTCAGGTTCCACTTCGGTTTCAATGGCTCCTTATCGTATGGCCCCAAAGGAGCTTAAGGAACTGACAGTTCAACTCCAAGAGTTGTTGGACAGGGGATTTATCCGACCCAGTGTATCACCGTGGGAGCCCCAGTTCTCTTTGTCAAGAAGAAAGATGGGAAATTGAGACTCTATATTGATTATAGGAAACTGAACAATCTCACGGTTAAAAACAAATATCCTCTGCCCAGGATTGATGATCTATTTGACCAATTTCAAGGGGCTTATATCTTTTCAAAAATAGACTTGAGGTATGGTTATTATTAACTCAAAGTGAAAGACTCGGATATTCAAAAAACTGCTTTCCGTACTCGGTATGGGCATTATGAGTTTTTAGTGATGTTATTCGGGTTAACAAATGCCCTGCTGCTTTTATGGATCTGATGCATAAGGTGTTTCGACCTTATTTGGACCAGTTTGTTGTTGTGTTAATTGATGACATATTGGTGTATTCTAGAAGTGAAGAAGAACATGAGGAGCATTTAGAGATTGTTCAACAGACTCTAAGGGAGAATAAGCTATACGCTAAGTTGAGCAAATGTGAGTTCTGGCTCAGCGAAGTGACTTTTCTTGGACATATCGTTTTTGCTGATGGTATTCGGGTGGATCCAAGCAAAGTGGAGGTTATTCTGAACTGGAAGCAACCCATGAACGTCTCCGAGATTCGTAGTTTCTTGGGCTTAGCTGGTTACTACCGTCGTTTCGTTGAGGGGTTCTCCCTTATTGCAGCTCCTCTAACGAAACTATTGAGGAAAGATGTTCCATTTGTCTGGTCTGAGAACCAACAAGCTAGCTTTGAGAAACTGAAGACTATTCTAACTCAAGCCCCAGTACTGATTCAGCCTGAATCTAGGAAAGATTTTTCTGTCTACAGTGATGCTTCTCACTCTGGATTAGGTTGTGTTTTGATGCAAGATAGGAAGGTTGTCGCTTATGCTTCGCGTCAATTAAAGCCGCATGAGCGTAACTATCCTATTCACGATCTGGAGTTAGCTGTCGTAGTTTTTGCTTTAAAGATCTGGAGACACTACCTATATGGAGAAAAGTGTTATCTTTATATTGGTCATAAAAGTCTGAAATATCTGCTTACTCAGAAAGAATTGAATTTGAGACAGCGTCGCTGGTTGGAGCTTCTAAAGGACTATGATTTAGAGATAGAATATCATCCAGGGAAGGCTAATGTAGTGGCAGACGCCTTGAGCCTTAAGGCGATATCAGATCTCAGAGCCTTATTCGCCAACTTGAGTCTATTTGATGATAATAGTCTGTTAGCAGAGTTGCAGGTTAAACCTACTTTGGCCGAGGAGATTAAGACCAAACAACTTCGGGATAGCTCATTGCTTTCCATTATTGAGCAAATTAAACAAGGATCGAGTTCAGAATATACTGTGGATCAGGATGGTAATTTGTGTTTTCACGGTCGTTACTACGTTCCTAAAGATGATGAATTGAGACGGGTTATTCTTCAGGAGGCTCATAGTAGTCCTTATGCTATGCATCCTGGCGGGGACAAAATGTACAATAATCTCAAGGAACGTTACTTTTGGACTGGTATGAAAAAGAATATTTCAGATTTTGTGGCGAGGTGTTTGACTTATCAGCAGGTTAAAATAGAACACCAACATCCATCTGGATTGTTACAGTCAATTAAGATTTCTGAGTGGAAATGGGAGAGCATTACGATGGACTTCGTTACTGGTCTTCCTCTGACTCCTTCTAAAAAGGATTCTATTTGGGTGATTGTTGATCGACTCACTAAATTAACGCACTTTATCCCTATCCGGATTAATTATTCTCTGGACAAACCGGCTAAGTTGTACATTTCTGAGATCGTTAGACTTCATGGTGTTCCGTTGTCTATCATATCTGATCGAGATCCGAAGTTCACTTCCAAGTTCTGGAAGGCTTTGCACGAGGCTTTGGGTACTCATTTGAATTTCAGTACATCTTTTCATCCTCAGACTGATAGACAGTCTGAGCGAGTAATTCAGGTGTTAGAGGATATATTACGGGGTTGTGTGATTGATTTTCGTGGTAGTTGGGAAGATTTCTTGCCATTAGCTGAGTTTGCTTACAATAATAGTTACCAGGCAAGTATTCGCATGGCACCGTACGAGGCTCTGTATGGACGTAGATGTCGTACTCCTATATGTTGGACAGAGTTGCATGATAGAAAAACTTTGGGTCCAGACTTGGTTCGAGAGACTGAAGATATTGTCAGACTGATCCGTGATCGCTTAAGAGAAGCATTTGATAGGCAGAAGTCATACGTAGATAAGCGACGTAAGGATATCGAGTTTGAGGTTGAAGATCAGGTTTTTCTTAAAGTATCTCCATGGAAGAAGGTATTGAGATTTGGACGTAAAGGTAAACTGAGTCCGAGATTTATTGGGTCGTATCGTATTCTGAAAAAAGTCGGACCTGTTGCTTATCAACTTGAGTTGCCTCCCCAACTCAGTCGTATTCATGATGTTTTTCATGTGTCTATGTTGAGGCGATACCGTCCAGATCCAGATCACATCATTCAAGTTGATGAGGTAGAGCTGAGACCTGATTTTTCATATGAGGAGGAGCCTGTTCAGGTTTTAGAGAGAGATGAGCGATTTCTTCGAAATAGGCGTATTCCGATGGTCAAAGTTCAGTGGAGTAATCGTAGCCCCTCAGAAGCTACTTGGGAGACATTGGAGTCAATGGAGGTTCGATTTCCTCATCTGTTTTCATAAGGTAAATTTCGAGGATGAAATTTCTTGTAGAGGGGGAGAATTGTAACAAACCATAAATTTCAAAATAATATTTAATTGAAATTTGAGGTTTTAATTGTGAAAATTGGTAAATTTTGGAGACTAAATTAGAAGTTTTTAATACTTGTAGCTTATTTTAGAGTTAAAAAAAATTCAGGGACCAAGCCCTGAATTTACCCAAGAAAAGTTGGTCATATTGGTTTATATATAAGTGGTTTTCTGTTTTGAAAACAGAAAACCACTTCCCAAAGCTCCCTTCCCCAATCTCAACTTATGATAACGATTTCGACGCCGTCCGAATTCCGATTGTCGTTTTGAAACCACCATCATGTTCGTTATCGAGTGAGGAACAATTCCCTTAAATCAATTGAGGTGAAACGCTGCCAAACACCGTGAATTTCAAGTCAAAGTCTCGACGTTTTTTTTAGCTCAATCGCCGAGAAAATCTTAAATTCATCGCCAATCGTTGCTCCGTTTACAACACCTCCAACACCATCGTGTTCCTTATGCCGTTCTGAGTCCGCCGGTGTCATCCTCGGTCACCGTTGACGGCGGCGCGTGGGGAGGTGAAGCGGTCAAAATTTCCGATTTGATGAAATCGAGCTCTCCGCCGTTCAAAAATTTGAACCGAGCTTTGTAAGTATCTCGAAATCGCTTAAAATAATTTTTAGAAATTTTTCTGTAATTTTTCCGACGTTTATAGACGCCGCACGCGCCCCCACGTGCCGCCACTGCGCGTGAGGAAGGATAAAATAACCGGTTTGACCGGTTTTGACCCGACCCGTTGACCTGACCTGACCCGACCCGTTGATCGGGTGACATTTTGGGAATTAATTTGAAATGGATGCTCTTTTTTGGGAATTAATTCAAAAAATGTGCTATTTCGGGAATTTAATTCAAAAAAGTGCTATTTTGGGAATTTAATTCGAAAAGGTGTTATTTTGGTAATTATTTTAAAAAAAAGGTGCTATTTCTATAAAATGGTTGACAGTTTGTTGACCTCATTTGACCAGAACTTTGACCGGCTTTGACCGGCTGTTAAACAACCGTTAATCTTTTTCGAGAATACCTGTCCTGACATTGTTCGACGTTCCGAATCCGTTTTTGGGGTCGGTTTCACAAAATGCAAACCCGAAAGTCTCTGAATCGTCAGTCAAACCCGTTGACTTTGATTTTGACCAAGAATTTAGAATTTTGAAAGGTCATACTTTATGTTTTTCGACGTCCTGAATCTGATTCTGAAGTCCGTTTTGTCAAATTCTGACCCGAAATTTTTGAATCGAGCTTGTAAATCCAAAATGCTTAATATTTCAATATTTTGATTATTTATTTGAGATTTGGTTAAGGAATTGATTCAATAAAAATATTTTATGAAGGTACTCGTGTTTCACCTGAGCAAGGATCATTTAGGTCCGGTGTTGTCCGTTCGTTAGATCAGCCTGAACCGCGTACGACGAGAATTACCCGTAGGTTTCCGTATATTATTTAAATAATATTTAGATTATTTATATTAGGTTTCAAATATGGATTTTTCCAATTCGTAGGATCTAGCGCTGCAGCAGAGCGTGATCGACAAAACCAGTAATAAGCTTCCCTATCTGATTTCTCAGACTGTTACAGGTGTGTTTCCTGACAATATTATCTTACAGTTTTAAACTATATATCTGAACTGGTTTATATTATGAGAATATAATATATTTTATGAGGAAATATCTGGTATTTTGAATAATGTTTATTAAATGTCTGATTTACCGTATAATTTTTATATTGTTTATAGTTATAGTATTTTTGTACATGATTTCTAAATATGGAACATTTCCATATTTAATGGATTAATTACCGTTTTTACTCCAATGCATACATGTTTATTTTTGTCATTGGGGGTACGATTGAAGGAAGTATTATCAGGTCCCTTTTGCTGTGTGCGAAGGTAAGCCTTACAGTTTCCCGAGTCCTTTTGCTGTGTGCAAGGATAAACCTTACAGTTTTTCTAGGCTCCTCTGCTTTGTGCACAGGTTAAGTTTCTACTGGTCTCTGTGATAAATTGTTTAATTTTATAAATTATTTTGTTATGTATGTGTTATATACTGTATGGGGCATACTGAGCTTTTTAGCTCATTCTATAGTTTTTACCTTTTTCAGATAACAACAGACCGTAAACTAATAGATTTGGCATCAGGAGAGATCAACTATTTATTTTGTACGAACTTATATCTTTATATATTTTTCAGTTATGTTTGGTGACATGTATTTGCTGTCGTTTTGGATATATATGTATTAATATATTTTATTCTGTATTATATCTAATGTATTGTAAGATATTTTAAAGAGAAAAAAAATATATTTCTGAATGGGATATATGACCACTTAGATTTAGGTCTAAATTACAGACCGGGTCTGAGGGTTATAGCCCTTCCCAAGTCAATACCATTTCCTTCCAACACTATCTCCTCCACCAACAGTTTATGAAACCTTTCTTTACACTCCTCCGCCACCCCGGGCCCGCCGTGCCCGTCATAGACTCTATAAAAATCAAACTTTCCCCCTCCTCTCACCATCAAACCTAACCCTACTTTCACAACATCTTCTATCTCTCTTCTCCTACCAATAACCGATACTACCCCATGGGACCTGCATGTTAAAGTTGGAACGTCGCCGATATTGCTATATTCATCACAGTCTGGTACGTGCACTTCAACGTTCTCCAGCGAGGCTTCTCAGTTCTGATTACTGTAAACGAGTTAAATTCGCCGGAATCTGATGTCATTAGCATATTCTCCTCCATGTTATTCTCATTTTTTTTGCATGAAACCGAAAGGCAAAGCGACAACTGGACAATAACCGGTGAAAGTTCGATTATATAAATGAAAGCATTGAATTTAGACTACTGTGACGAAGCCACGTGGGCTGTTACCGTACAATTGAACCATATTTTTCAAAAGGAACGTGGACGGTAATGATTTGGTTGGAGTTAAATCTGTTGGTCATTCATTCGGTAGGGTAGAGGATTGGGCCCACCACTGATCTCTAGAAACACTAACGTGGCATCTCCTGCTTAGGGAAGGTTATGCTTTTTTTGCTCTTGGTAAAGTTTTTATTTCGGTCACTTTTCTATGCTTAAATTATAGATTTAATCCTTGTATTTTAATTTAAAATAATTTTATGCCTAAACTTTTTAGAACCACGTTATATTTTCAAATAATAATATCATTAACTATTCTGATTAAAATATTATCATCAATTTTTTTTAAAAATACCTCTTTCTATATAAAAATTCATATCTCAATGAAAATGATATTTTTAAAGAAAACAACATGCCAATATTTTAACAGCAATTAATGAAATTATATAAATCAAAGGGATAATTAAGTTATTTTTAACGTTAAGTCTCGATTTCAAACATGTACAACCTTTCTCTAATTTAAAAAAAAAAATTGTAGAAGGATAAAATTATATCAAATAAAAGTACATATACTAAATCTTAAAATATGAGCATTAAAGAGGGACTAAAACCACAGTTTAACTGTTTCTCTGACATGTAATAACACGTGTTGGATTATGGTAAGTCGCATGTGGGGGTTGGGATTGGGCCAGGTTTTGAGCTAGGTGCTTCGAAGATCTACTCATTTCTTTGGTAAATGAATTTTCGGGAAGTTTAAATATTTATGAATGAAATTTAAAGTATTAAAAGTTTAAAAATTAATTCAGAATGAAAGCATTTTACGGTTGTCATTGAAATTAATTCTTACATTTAAAACTATATATTTAACAATTTAAATCAACAATCGAATTGAATTCAACGCTTGAATAGAAGCAAGACCTCCGTGTCATTGTTTTTAACTCAAATCCAAAATTTTATTCATAAATCTACAGTTAATATAGAAAACTCATGTATTTAATAATAAGAAGGATTTTGGCTCAATAATAATAATAATAACAACATTATTTTCCAAAACAAACTATACATTATTGTTCCTTTAAGAAAACCATGAGACTTGAACCCCATGAACAAGGTGGGTAAAAACTATAAATAAAGCATCCCCTGGTGGTTGCAAAGGATTTCATGCTTCAATTCTCACTGTGCCCCCTGGTGGTTGCAAAGGATTTCATGCTTCAATTCTCACTGTGCCCATTATGTCATAATTGTTTGTTGCTTCTGGGAAAGGTCTTGATGCCGCTTGACAGAATCTTGAGTCTCGCCATTGAGACTCGTGTTCTTGTCTTCACTAGTCAGGTATTTGTCAACTTGTGCGGCAGTTTGCCTTCCCTCTGAGATTGCCCACACAACTAATGACTGGCCACGCCGACAGTCTCCAGCGGCAAAGACACCATCCACATTCGTTGCAAACCGCCCGTATTCTGCCTTGAAGTTTGACCGATTATCTTTTTCAACACCTAATTTTTCTGCCACTGTCTGTTCAAATCGAAAAGCAAGATAATTGATGAGCAGTGGCTCAAACCATGCAACATACAAGCATCTTAGATGACTGACAAGCAACAATTATTCACCGCTAAATGACTTTAAGGATGCGAAAGGTAAAAGGAAATAAATAAAAAAACTAAGCATGAATGAGCATTCAGGTTCACTAGACGAGGCATTAAGACCTGATTTCCACACAAAGAAATACAATAAAGGGGCAGTGATCACAATACTGACCGATTCAGGCCCGAGGAACCCCATGGCTAGCAGGACTAGGTCAGCCTCGATAATTTCCTCAGAGCCCTCAACTTCCTTGAATTGGAACTTCCCACTGGCATCCTTCTCCCAACGCACACGAATCACTTGAATTGGAACTTCCCACTGGCATCCTTCTCCCAACGCACACGAATCACCTCGAGTCCTTTCACAGTTCCATTCTCATTTCCGATAAACCTCTTGGTCAAAACCTCATAGGTTCTTGGGTCTTTTCCAAATTTGGTAGCAGCTTCTTGGTGCCCGTAGTCTACACGGAATACACGAGGCCACTACAATTCCAAAAAGGAAAAGGAAAATGGTAACCGTCAGATTTCTATATTTATTTAATATTAAATTGAAAGCAACAGCTTAGAATCAAGAAACGAAGAATATAACTGTCAAACCTGTGGCCAGGGATTGCCAGGAGCTCTCGTCTGAGGTGGCTGAGGAAGTAACTCGAGATTGACAATGCTACTACATCCATGCCGGATAGATGTCCCTATGCAATCTGTACCAGTGTCACCGCCACCAATGACTACAACTTTCTTGCCCTTAGCTGATATGTAGTTTCCATCTTGGAGATCACTATCAAGCAAGCTTTTAGTATTTGCATGTAGGAACTCCATTGCAAAATGAACACCAGATAAATCCCGTCCTGGTACAGGAAGGTCCCTGCATCAAGCAAATAAATGCAATCAATTCTGCAACCATGTAACAATTAATTTTATCATTTTGATCATTTAGGTACTATTAGTACTTTTCTTTCAGGCCAAGACACCATTGTCTGATTGTAAAGAGTGAAAATACTGAAACCTCTCCAAAGATTTATCAATAACCAACAGCTCTATTTCTTCCCTCAAAGATTTACCTGGGTTTGGTGGCTCCAACTGCCAAAACAATGGCATCATTCTCCTCTCGTAGCCTGTCAAGAGAGTAGCTCGGGTCATTTCCAATATTTGCATTGACCACGAATTTAACTCCTTCCTCAGCCATGAGGTTCACCCGACGCTGAACTACATCCACCTTATCGGCCTTCATGTTAGGGACTCCATACATCATAAGCCCTCCGATTCTATCAGCTCGCTCATACACAGTGACTGAGTGACCCATTCTATTTAACTGATCAGCAGCAGCCAAACCAGCTGGTCCACTTCCAATAATAGCAATGCTTTTCCTGCAGAAATAAATGCATACAAAAATTTACTTTAGTGAAAGCATAAATTACCAAAATATATCAAGCTTGCAGAAATGCAAAGTATCTCCTAGCCATAACATTTTAAATTTTTACTATAACCTTTAACAAAGGAACTAACTTTTTAAATGCAAGGTCTACAAGATAAATATACTGAAGGTATAACACAAGCCATACCCTGTTCTCTTGAGAGGAGGTCGGGGCACCATCCACCCTTCCTCAAAAGCCTTGTCTATGATAGCACATTCGATGCTTTTGATGGACACAGGATTTTCAATAATACCAAGCACACAAGACCCTTCACATGGTGCAGGGCACACTCGGCCAGTGAACTCTGGAAAGTTATTTGTCTCTAGAAGACGATCTAGTGCTTCACGCCACCTATTTTGGTACACCAGCTCATTAAATTCAGGGATTTTGTTTCCGAGAGGGCATCCAGAGTTCTCCTGAATTTATAAAGAAGATCCTAGATTTAAGCTGTGCTTTGTGTAAATTAATATCTAAAATGATGAAGAAAGAGCAAAACGGGAATCTGTACCTGATGGCAGAAAGGAGTACCACATTCCATGCAGCGAGCAGATTGTGTCTTTAGAAGTGGGTCAGGTTTTGATTCCTCCATGACCTCCTTCCAGTCATTCAACCGAACATTAGGATCTCTATATTTAATGCCTTCACGCTCATAAGCAACAAAACCACGATGTTTCACAGCATCAGAAACTTGAGTTGGCCTCTTCACTGGTTCAGCCTCAACCGTCTACAATTCCAAAAGCCAAATTAGAATGTAAACAAATAGTTCATGATACCAACAGGCATTAAGCTGATAGCAACCTAACACCAAAAAGAAGGGAGCAATCAACAAGGGATTGTACAAATTCAATTAAATAAATCAAAAGATAAGCGAGGGAAAGAAAAGTTTGACTAAGAAGAAGCAGAGATCCTTATAAAGGAATGTAAGATTTGATAATAACAAATACTGCATACCGGACCCGATTTCTCTTTCAAAGATGCAGCTGCCAACTTCTTAAGCTCTTCAAAAGCATCTTTTTCATTCAGCTCTGCTTCAGCTTTATCCTTGGCTTCTTCAGCATTTTCAAGAGCTTCCTTAGAGGCTTCCTCATCTTTCATCTTTGTTAGAATACGCTTGTAATCTCTGGGGAAGACTTTTATGAATTTGGGCAGAAGATTCTCAAAGTCAGCAAGTACTTCTCTAGCTAACTGGCTGTTGGTATGACGCTGATGTTGCTGAATCATCATTTTTAGAGTGACAATATCCTCTTCTTCTTCAACTTTATCAAGGTCTACCAGCTCAAGGTTGCACCGAGATTCAAATTTTCCATCCACATTGAGGACATAAGCAATACCGCCACTCATACCTGCAGCAAAATTTCTACCAGTTTTTCCAAGCACAACAACAGTCCCACCAGTCATGTACTCACAACCATGATCACCAACACCTTCAACAACTGCTTTGGCACCTGAATTACGAACACAAAATCTTTCTGCTGCCATTCCGTTGAAATATGCTTCCCCAGAAGTAGCTCCATAGAGAGCCACATTACCAATTACTATGTTTTCCTTGGGATCAAACTGGCTTCCATTCGGTGGATAAACTACAATTTTTCCACCTGATAGTCCTTTGCCAACATAGTCATTGCTATCACCTTCAAGCTCCAGCATTATGCCCCGGCAGAGGAAAGCTCCCAGGCTCTGCCCCGCGCTTCCTGAGAGTTTGACATGAATTGTACCATCAGGAAGACCCACCAGGTGGTAGCGCTTAGTTACTTCATGGCTCAGCATTGTTCCAACGGCACGATTCACATTGCATATGGGTGTTTCAATGTAAACAGGAAGACCTTTCTCTAGAGAAGATGTAGATAGTTTAATGAGCTTTTGGTCCAAAGCCATATCCAAGCCATGA